CTTTGGATAATTCCTCCATACCTTGCTTTCTACTCATGCGGGATCAGGCGGGGGGGGGGATACCCTCCCTGAAGAGCCAGAGCTCATGCCACGGAGAGGAATGTAAATTGGCTAAGGGATGATAAATTAAATTTGACGTATGGAGACACATTCCTTTGTGAAGACGGCAGGCCTGCCCCTGCATCGCGTCTTCTCTGCCCATTTGTCAATATCTAAATCAAATTTCGCCGAGATTAAACTTGTGTAGCTCTGCCTTATTGATTGAGTTAGGAATGATTATGGAAAAATGAGCCCCCGAGCCCCAGATTTAAAGTAGTTGTGAAATGCACTGAGCAGTCTTCAAAGAAAAGAAGCTTAACTTCAACAATTGGAGCGGGGAGGGAGGGGATGTTTGTGAAATGGGAAAGGCCGGGTGTTTGGAAGCACGTCAGCAGCAAATAGTTTGCGTATGTTAATGGCCGCATTAATGCCCGTCTGGGTGGCTTCTGGGTTGAGCGTGGTGCACGATTTGGGGAGTACAGACTCCTCCTTGCCAGGCTGCAGTCGCCGATTGCCTGAGTAAAATATGTAATTGTTTATCGGGTTCTGTGGGGGTTTCTTTTAAATTAAAAATACAATCTCAGCGGAGCCACTGGAAAAGTCATGCGGCAAATGGGTGGAAATGACCTTTTCTACAGAGATGACAAATGATGCCTCAAATCTTTGGGCTAGAAAGTTGCCAGACATTATAGCTGACATATATAGCATAGATTTATAGAGCGCGGCTGGAAGCTCCCTCCCCTCCTCCCCAAGCAAGCTGTCTTGGAAACTTTTATTTTAAGTTCTGCGGGGGAATTCTTTGTCCCGCCGGAGTCTGGGTGACCGAAGGCCCAACGTTGGCCTGATAAATATCAAGAGGATATGGCAAGTCCCGGAGGCACTGTTGCTGCTGCTGGTAGAAGTGTACCCAGTGTAGTGTAGTGTAGTGTAGTGTAGTGTAGTGTAGTGTAGTGTAGTGTAGTGTAGAAGTGTACCCAGAGAGTCAGCATGGTGGAGTGCTTAAGAACTGCAGACTCTAATCTAGAGAACGGGGCTTGATTCCTCACTCCTGCTCCACGTGAAGCCTGCTGGGTGACCTTGGGCCAGTCACAGTTCTCTCCGAACTCACTCAGCCCCATCTGCCTTACAAGGTGCCTGTTGTGGTGGGTAGAGGAAGGGAAGGTGATTGTAAGCCGCTTTGAGACTCCTTCAGGTAGAGAAGGGGGGGGTATGAAAATCGACTCCTCCTCCTTTCTCCTGTTCCAGAGGTTGTGCCTTCATTTGCTGATGCTGTAGCTTCAGTTTCAATGAATTGTAAGTGACAAAATCAACAAACCTGGATAATCCAAAAACAGGGATTGGTTTCCTCTATACAGACACTTTAACCATATTGGAATCAAGGACTATGAACACTAGCTTCCAATTATGATCCAAAGGGGTGGGGGAGGAGTAGGAGCTGGATTTATACCCCACCCTTCACTTGGAGTCTCGGAGCAGCCTACAATCTCCTTCCCTTCGTCTCCCCACAACAGGCACCCTGTGAGGCAGGTGGGGCCGAGAGAGCTCTGAGAGAACTGCTCTTTTTCGAGTGAGAGAACTGGGACTGACTCAAGGTCACCCAGCTGGGCTTCGTGTGGAGGAAGAGTGGGGAATCAAATCCAGTGACGACTCACTTGGGCTGGTCGCCAAGCTAGCCCTGTGCACGGGGAAGTAGCTCCTCACAGACGTCCATCCTGTTTTAGAGCATTGTGAGGGTTAAAAGCAAGGGTCTCCAACGTGGTGCCCACCGACACCTTTCCTCCTGTCTCCCCAGTTTTTTTTTTTAGTAAACGGGTGGGGCAAGGTGAGGCTTTTGCCCAGCAAGTCTTCTGATTAGACATTGGGGATTTGACGGCTGTGCAGACTTTAAAAAAACTTCTGTGTTGGCTCCAGCCGCCACCACAGCTCAAGGACTGACGGTCAGCTGCAGCATCCATTGTATGGCTGGCTCTGTCTCCGATGGTGGACATTTTGCGACTGCGCCCACCACACTGTGTCAGAATCCCAAAGGTGCCCACGAGCTCAAAAAGGTTAGGACCTCCCGGTACAGAGCAAGGCCCTGAGAGCCAGTTTGGTGTAGTGGTTAAGTGCGCCAACTCTAATCTGGAAGAACTGGGTGTGATTTCCTCACTCCTCGACTTGCACCTGCTGGATGACCTTGGGCAAGCCATAGTTCTGGCACAGCTGTTCTTGAAAAAGAGCAGTTTCTGTCAGAGCTCTCTCAGCCCCACCTACCTCACAGGGTGTCTGTTGTGGGGAGGGGGAAGGGAAAGGAGTTTGTAAGCTGCTCTGAGACTCTGAGTGAAGGGTGGGGGATAAATCCAATCTCCTCCTCCTCTTCTTCTCCTCCTCCTCCTGTGGAAGGTGCAGAAGAAGGGAAGAAGCGTCTGTCAGAACAGAACATTCCCGTCCTGTTCTTCAGCTTCCACATCTTCCTAAATATGCTCTTCTCTTTGTGCTGAAGGCCTCTCGGGGCCACGACGCTCAAGGTCGCAGTGCAGGTAAACCTTGCAAGGTGCCGGAGTTTGTAAATCAGGCCTTGTAATTCTGAACCTTAGCCTTGCTAGCTTAGGGCAGATGTGTGTGGCCATGACTGTAAGGAACCGTAGGCTTCGTAGAGAAGCAGCATGAAGGCCCAGGAAAGGAGCAGCGCTTTGTGTTCATCACTGCTGGAAAGGTTTGGGCTTTGCCCTAAGAGCAGGAAACGAAGATGTGGGGCCACAGTTGCGAGCGAGG